GTCCACTTTGTTACTTTTTCTCAAAAATAAAGTCTATATTTGTTTAAAATGGAACCATTAGTGTAAATATTTTACATATAATAATTTTAGGACATTGTTCTTAATGCTATTAAAGATATCCAAGTGCGTTTTATTATTTCTAGTTAATTAATTTTATTTTACAGACATTATTAAATAAGGTAACTCAATGGACTGTTTGTAATACAGTGGACAGGAAGGTGATAAATAGGAAAAATAATAAGCAAAATAACACACAAAGTACTTTTTTTCTAAAATTATCAAAATGTAAAAATCTCAGTAAGTTTACAAAATACTCTAACATTAATTCAACTTAAAAAACTTTGATATAAATAAACAATCGTAAAAAAATAGGGACAAACTAAAAAGTAAATAGTATCTAGAAGATAACAGAGATATATCTAGATAACATTAAAATAGTTGAACTAGATTTCAAAAACATCGATGGGTCTTTTAAACTCATAATAAATTTGATCGCTTTTAATTTTATTGTAGGTTTTCAAAGAATTTCCAAGATTTGTTCGTTTGAAATGTAAGATACATCATGATCCGATATGAATTTCGTGCCACTATCGGCTGTTTTTTAAAAACATAACCTTAACTTCCCCATCCTTTTGCTTTTTAAAAGTTAATTTTTCAGAATTATTCGTTATTTTGGCATATTCAGACGATAGAGCATGAGTTAACACATTGTACTTAAATAATTGCTTTTTAATTTTATCTACACCTGGACTATTAATTCCCGGTATGCATTATGAATTTTCAGCTCTGTTTTTGATAATGGAGAAGCATTGGTAATTGACGAAATGACTTTGCCGGTCATATCTTTTTGGGCTCGATATGCCCGCATCTTATACTTATTAATTTCTCTAATCAGCCTTCTATTTTCTAATTGCAGTCTCATATTATCTAAATATATAAAGTTTTGATCGTTTTCTGCCTCTTACAATATTAATATTTGGAGTTCTCTGCAGTCACTAGAGAGTTCGGTAAAGTAATTTGTTGTATTACTTGAAGGCGTTTTAAGTGTTCTCTCTGCTTTTGTTTTTCATTTCGCCACTTGGTTCTCTTTATTTTTTGTTTTTTTTTTTTTGTAATTGACTTATCAACACTTTCGTTGCATGATATCTGTCTCTAGCCATTTTCTTTAGCTGCAACTGTTTGAAAAACTGCTTTCTCCAAAAAAATGGTAAAAACGAGCATTTTATGCAAACAATTAAAGGGTTGGATTCAAGTCTTATTCCTCCATGTTGGAGAACTATGAAACAAAAGATCTGGCGTACAGTGTACGTCAATTCAAGGTGGCAAAACACCGCAGATGCAAATTGTTCTAAATTAAATGTTGAAGAATGCGGTTGGGAGCTAAATGAACGTTTGGAACCAGTGTGGTTCAAGGGAGACCCAACGCCATTGAAAGTCGATTGTGTCTTAAAATATATTGAAAATATTGTCGATAACGATGAGTTGAATGAGTTAAATTATTTGAATGATTTGAATGATGTTTTTATAGATTCAGATGATTAGTAAATGTTAAAATTGTTGGAAAGGATTAGAAGTAATTTTTTTTTATCGCGAACGGGATTTTTTTTAATAATAATGTATTTTAGTATTGATAAATTGTTTGTGTATACATATTTATTTAATTTAATTTTTTCATGTATGTACTTAAAAATAAATAATTCAACAATCCTTAGTAAGTATACCTTTAATACATTTTCTGGAAAACTTCCGAATATAACTATATCATCGTCGTATTGAATTTTATTTTCAATTTGTAGTTACACTTTTTTATAAATATAAAAAGTAATAAAATATATCTAAATAATTACCTGAAAAGATATTATGTTAAATAATAAACCTGTATATTAATAAAAGTAATTTTAAAAACCCTTCTTTGATATTCGAAGAATTTAATTATTTTCTCGTGTATCCTATCATCAGATGTTCACCAAATGTATATATGACTTACCCGGTGTCCCCTTTTCTAACAAAAAAATAATCATAGAAATCGGACAACGTGGTATAGATTTATCAGTGAACATACAAAAAAATAAAATACTTTAACGACATGAGTATCTCCTATTATTTTAAGTCTGTTAGAAAGCCTTTAAAATTATGATATAAACCAAGGCTTCAGTAATAAGTTTACAATTAATTATTAGGATTGTAGTTTTCAATACAAATAATTTTCGTTGTCATGGCTTATGTGATTTTTTGTATATATGAAATAAATTAGTTGGGAGAGGCGCGTCTCAGAAATTAAGCTGTGCCAGCAACTTAGCTCAGGTTAAAACGTGGCACATGCGGATATTCCTGAATGGGACATTATGCCCCTTCGAATGCATATTGTTTTAACTTGTTATCACATGACGGAAGTTTGTCGAGAATTTTGGCTGAATAAATAGGCCGTGCCAAGCATTTGGCTCAGGAAAAGAGGAGGCACAGGTACATTTTTAAGTTCTATTAATCAATAGCTATCCGATGGCATAAGTCTTATCTCGTTATCAAATGACGACATTTCTCGCTAATTATGACACCGGAAGTGCCATTGTTTTAACTGTTTTGCTCAGGATAGTGATAGGCACAGGTGCAGTTTGGTAAAGTACAATATTTTTACATGCCCCTGAAGCATATTTCATTTCGTTATCAGATGACGGTCGAAATTTGCAGTGGGCTCTTGGACTATTAGGATTTGTTATATGATTTAATAAGATTATATTTTGTTTGACTACATTAAGTCTATGGAATACCTTAAAAAAGAATAAATAAACATTTCATAAAATATTTTTTTTTTAATAAAAGGTATTTTGAGTTTAATAATTCTTTGATAATAAAATGCATTATTTGTAAAATCGATAAGTAACTCAAAAACAAACAAAAAATAAAATTAAGAATTATCATTACCTCTCACTTGACGTGTCTTCCAGATGTATGATGCAAGAATGACTCAGAAATATTCGATAATTATTTTCAATTTTCTTGACATGGAGAACACAACTTTGTCCATATTTCTGAAGATACTCCTGCAACATCTTCTTGTATGGCATCTAACACGAACACGCTTTGACACAAATTAACCATCAGCCTTTTGGTGGGTTGAGACAGGATCATAGTTGCCGAATATATATTAATTCTAGCGTATTAGGTAAAAAGGCTGGTTTTTAAAGGGCGGTCAGTTAATAATAAATTACAATAAGCCATTTTATTTTTGCAATTTGATAACTGTTTTTAGACGTTCGCTGTGCATTTGGATGTCGCTTTCTTTGTGAATTGTATAGGTATCTGTATCTGTAACGTGTGGAGGGTGGGTTACCCCCACGGCACTTAGGTCTCATTAGGCCCATTGTGCATCCTCCTAAGATGATAGGCACCTCCTAGCTCGTCAGCCAGCCTACAGATTTAATGTAGTTGACAACGTCACCAAGAGGTGGTTCTCTTATATCGGCCGGTATTAGCCGATACTCGCCGAACACAAATCTTCTAATAAATGAGAGCGTCGGGCAATCGTAAAGGATATGCTCGATGGACTCATCTTCTTGTTCGCACTCTCTGCAGAGTGCTGATTCTGACAGCCCCATGATATGGAGATGCTTCCGTACTTGGCAATGACCAGTCAGAATACCTGTGACCAGACGCTGATTCTGTCTAGTTATAGTCAAGTATTTGTTTGCCTCAGTGTTTGGGACACCATTTAGGAGAATTTAAAATATGGTTATTCTTTAATGCCTGGGAAATTGAGCTTACCGTCGAAATATTCAACGTCGCTGCTACACGCTCACAGACTGCATTTATTGGTAATAAAGGGCCCACCAATATATCATTCTTCTTAAAAATATTTTATTAGAGACCCCCACTAATTCTTTCGCACGGCTATTTAAATGCTTAGGCATTTTAAATATCAAAAAATAAATTTGATTTATTAAACACCAAGTGGTCTATTCTGTAACACATTCGTTAAAATTTAGAGGCTTTTAAAAATTTAACTTTTAGCGGTCCATTAATTTTTGTAACCAAAAATGGTATTCTGTATACACAAATTTTAGAGGACTGTTAAAAATTATTTATTTTAACGGATCCCCTTAAAAATGACAGGAGAACACTTGACAACAACGCATTTAAGATTCATTTTAACTAATTTTGAAGGATTAGAAGAATTAATTTGAAAACATAAATATACAAACCCTTAATTTTCAATTCAAAACATACCTAGATACAATAAAAAATATCTTGCGCACCAATAACTACTAAAAACCAAAGAGTTGATAATAAACTTCAGAACAGCAAAATTTGCTTCACGGTGGGAAAATAAACTCAATCTTTAAAAACCGAAAAATATTTTTAAAATCTACATTTCACAACTCAAATGGATCGCTCAAGATCCTAATTGACCTTTGATGTAATCGAAATTCGGTTCCGAAATATTAAATTTAATAGATGTACCCATAGAAAAATAAAAAGATGTACCTATATTATAAATGTGATGTACTTTCTAGACCTTTCATTTTCCAGTAACTCTTCAATCAAAATTTCTCCAATTATGTCATAAAACGTCATTTGTTATCGGTTCCGTTAAAAATTAAAGGTGAATTTTAACATCCCTTTCCGCCAATATTTTAACGGCCGTTAAAATATAAAGGAATTGTTACAGAATAGACCCCACATAATGTTGACAGTTCTTATACATATCATAAAAAGAAATATTGATTTGGCAACGGTCCCTTACGAATACCAATTGCTCACTTCAATCTTGAAAAGCAACAAATATGACCAACATCAATGATTTATCTGTTCAATTTGATAACCAATTTTCATCATTGATGACGTGCAACGGAAATTTCATTGCAATAATTTATTAATTTTCAAACAAATAAGACTTTAGCAGCACTAAAGCCTTACGTCTCATCAATGGCCTAATCAAACGCCAAATATTAATTTTTTAGGGTAATAACTATGGGCAATAAGGAAGATTAAAACAAACTACATGAATTTGAAAATGTACTTCAAATAGGTAAAATAATTTTATATACATATATCTATATAAAAATTAAATATGATATGCAAAAATAAATATTGTTATTCACCTACGTTTCAATTCCACCTCTTAGATCTAGGCGAGAAAACCTACCAATAATAATATAACGCAAAATAATATAAAGCTTAGTGTCATCAACTTAATTATGAAGAACAAAATGTACAATATATGAAACACCTAACGAAAAATATGTTACTTAAATTTAATAAATTAGTTCTAATAAAAAAGAGGTTAAATCAAATTCCATCAGTGTATATTGAGATTTTCGGCATTTAAATGTCTTCAAAGGCAGTTTTGTGAACATTTTTTTACGGTATCTACTGTGATAGTTCATAATCGGTGACGCATGTCATTTAAACAAATACTGACATCTGACACACCGATTACCGAACAACTTAAAAACGAAAAATATCACTTTTTTAAATATTTATATTTTTAAATGCGTTCTTCATCAATATAGACTCATGAAAGAGCGAACAATATCTGAGTGTATGTGAAGTATACATAGATGTCAGTCTGACAGGCGTAATTCAATTCGACAACCGACAACATTGTCTAACGGGTCGAATGATGTATTATATACAATTAAAAAACTACCTACCGGGATCTAGCAGTGATGTGTCTAGTCCACATTGGACAATGTCGGTGTTTACAAAAAAAAAAAAAAAAAAAAAACAATCGGGACGACATGATTAGTAATTGTAAAACTTAATTTAAATTCCATAAAATTGAGCACAAAATTGACGGTCCCGTAATTAAAATCGTGTTAGATTTTAAAAATATAGACTCACATAGAACGGTTTTTAATCTATAAAGTGCACTGTCAACAACTGTCAACGCACGTTCTGCAGAGTATTTTGATTACAAGAACACCAACTGTGCCTAATTTTATCGCTTTTAAATACACACCACTTGTTTGAGACCAAAAAAAAGTTGAATTAAAAATAGTAAAATACTTTTTTTTCAATACGGGTATATTAGTGACGTAATTAAGTTCCACTGACACTTAACTTTTAACAAAATATTCGTTTTTTGTTATTTTTTTTTTTAATATTATTTGGATGTCGTAAAAAATAATTTAAATGTATGTAACCAAATTATTTTTATCTTGAAAATAATAGAAATAAAATGTTAATTACCTCTACTGTCATTGTCAATGGAACACAAATTACGTTATCACTAAAAGAGCGTATTGGTTACATATAAAAAAAAAAACGTGGTATATATTTCATATTTGCGAACATACGAACTATTTACTAAAGCGGTATAGGTCTCCGGATTTTCGTTATCATACGAAAAAACGGCCTCTTTTATACTCGATTCTGAAACAATAACTCTGAAACAAATCACCAACAACTCTTAGAACTAAGTCAACGGAATTGAATAAACAAATCGCGCAAAAGTCGATAAAAAGGTTTTAAATTTAATTTTTTTTTTGGAGCAAATAGAATAGCACTAGAATATATTTTTGTATATTGTATATATATATAGTAGAGTAAATATCACCAATTCACTTGCTTAATTTTTATCGTTTAAATACAATGTTTAGTTTAAAAATTACAGAGACAAGAACATTAACAGCACACTATTTATAAATCGATGCGAATTTATTAAAACAAAATGATTCGAATATATATATGCAAAATTGATAAAAATAATGATGTTTAGGGAAAGATCATGTACAATACAAGAAAGCAAAACAACAGAAGTGTATGTAGGTGATGTGACAATTACATAATAGCGGCATAGTGAAAAAGAGAGCGGGATGATTTATTATGTGATCGTAATGCTTCCTGTGAAAGACTGACATTGACAGAGAGACAGTAAGAAAAAATGTTGCATAAAGAATTGCAAATAATGAGACTTTGCTCAAAAATTTTATAAAAAAAAACTTCACATGTAACCAAAAAGAACTGGAAAAGCAACTGTCCTGCCAGTATTCGCCAGATCTTATCCCATGCGACTTTTATATCACATTTTCAGTCAAGGCAAAAACGGCAGATAACCTGCAGCACTGCTTTGAATATTGGAACACACATACAGTATGTTAACTGACGTATCAAGCAAAAATAAAGATGAGATGTCTAATTATATTTGGACGCGAGGGAATAAAGAGAGTAATTGGTTTAATCACGCCCTTTCGAAGGCAAGGATAGGATATTGTGGTTCGTGGTTGTCTATTTAGTAGAGATGGGACTTTTCATGAAAAGAAATTTTTGGACTAGTCCGACGGACATGTCCGGAAAAGTAGTGAAAAGTCAGAATGAAAAGTAGACGACCTTGAGCATAGAAGATACACAGTTAAATCTCCATCCTGGATGTTTTTTCAAAAACACTGGGAACAATATTTGCATTTGTCTTTTCGTTTTTTTAGGCAAATCATTTGTAAAATACTTCCAACCTTTGGATTACACTTTTCCACTTTTGAAAAGTGTGTTTGAACTAGTCAATTTTCAGACTAGTCCGTCGTACTTTTCAAAGCGACCCATCACTATTTAATAGCATTGTGTTTCTATACTGTTCTTCTGGAGTCAGTATTGAAAAGTTAACGCACTGTATATGCAGCAGTGTGTAGATAGGAAATGGGAGTACATTGAAGGGGATAATTAGCTATTGTAGTTATTTAATTATTTTTCAGATATTTCCCGTTTTATTTGTCACACCTAGAACATGAATGGGTCCAATAAAACCAGGGAGGTGGTAAGGGATGAAGATGACATCACGTTATTTTGCCATATTGGAATTAAATTTTGACATGTGTATGTAATCATTTAGTTTTTTACTTTTTATCGCCCTGCAGATAAGTTGTAAGGTCGGTTTTAGCGTATAAGCAAACGTGTTTTACTGAAACAACAATTCTTATACTCTCGTTCGACGTTTGTTTAGAAATTGCAATTAACACGACACTGAAGAATACTCAGAAATTAATAATAATAGTATCATAAAGTTGGATCTATATCATTTTTTTTTTTAATATTACGATTGGAAAAAAAATTGTTAGGCAATCACCTCCGATTATTTAAAAACTTAAAATAGCCCATATTAAAGTTAGCTGGTGACGTTATCTGTCAAATCGTTTAAAAATTGCCTTTTTTAAATATAAAAAAGTTATTAGAGACTTGTTTCTAATAACATTTTACTCCAACATACCGATTTTGAACGAGACATTCCGAGCTGTAAGTTTTTGAAACATCCTCTTAACGGAAAATTTTGCAAAAAAACTTAGCAGGAATGAGAAGATAACAATTCCAAACCAATTTTTGTTAATAATGTTCAATAATGTTTTAAGATTATTAAAATTATGCAAAAGCAAATGGACTTTCTGGACGATTTTGATCGATTTTTCAAAAAAAAAAAAAAAAAAAAAACGAATCTGACAGATAATGAATGTCAGAGATGGTTTAAGTTTTTAAAAAAGCAAATATGATTACATCTCGGTTTTTTCAATCATATTAAAAAAAATCCCACACTCCATAATCAAGACGTGGATTCGTAAGTTTGAAGAGGCTGGTTCAACAATGAATAAACGCATGACTACTGGTTAAGAATAGCGAGAAGCCCTGAAAATATTAATATTGTGAGAGCGTCAGTATTGAAAGAACCAAACTTGACTGTTCACAAGCGTGGGTTTGCTTTAAAGATTGATTCATGCACCCTTACAAAATTTAGAGATTTGTATTTGCCGACGACATGTTAAACTAGTTTCCATCTCTCGACAACTTTTTGGTTTCGAATAAAGCTCATTTTCACATTAATGGCTGTCAATAAACAAAATTGTCGTTACTGGTGTGAAAAGAACCCTAAAAAAAAAACATTAAACATGTCAATATGATTCGTGATTTTTTAAACATCTACTCTTCAAGAAATTGATCAAGAAACCTGGTTTTTAACAAAACAAAGCACCACTAACAACACATCGTCCGTTGTCGAGAATCTTTTTTTAAACTGATTTCTCGAAAAGGAAACATAAATTGGCCTCCATGAAGTCTGGATTTGACTCTATATCTTAAAAGTAGAGTTTATTGCAACCACCATATGAAAATGAAACTTGAAGGACAATACTTGGGCTGAAATTTAAGCCACAATTGAGCAAACTTGTTGAAGCTTGATGACAAATTTTAAAGTTCGACTTGAGTACTAGGAAAAAATGGGCAACATTTGGACAATATTATTTTTAATTGTTTTTTCTCTAACTTAAGAAAAAATTGTCAAAACTGGTCGAATATTTTTTTTTTTTTTTTAATTTAAAATCAAAAAGTGAAAAACTGTAGTACAGTAATTTCTCTATAAAAACTAGAAGAAAATAAAAAATTAATAATTGAAACAATGCAATCCTTCAGTGTAGATGAGAAGAAATTTTCAGAAATAACATATCACAGGTAAGAGTATTCAAAAACCATATCCAAACACTAAATGCGCAAAATTTCTTAATTTTTCCTGATTAATTTCTAATTTACAAATTTTTTAATATTCAGTTAATGAGCTTACATATGTTTAAATACTAATAAATACAAAACTGTCCCTATCACTGCCAGTTTAAAATAAGCTCAGCCTTGTGGTGCATTTAGTTGGTATGACGGTAAACCTGTATGACATCTCCATCCGTTCCCACCTCCCTGAATAAAACTCCCTAACAAAAACACAATAAATTATATATAAAAAAAAATTAACAAAGAGGGAAACAAAACTGATAATGAAGGGAGAGAGGAGCATAAATAAAACGTTTACGACGTATAAACAAAAATGCATCAACTTTTTTATCATTTCTTCTCCTATGAAGTGGCTGTTAATCTTTTCCCGCCTCCTATATTTCACATGCGCATGGAAGTCATTCAAGATAGTTACTTCGAATCGAAAATTTTAAAATTGTATGAGCAAAAAACCCCAAACGACGCGAATTAACAACATTTCGACCAAACTCCTGAATCTTCCTAAACCGTGACAGATATGTGAAATGTTTTTCATTTCTTTCTTTTACGTTGTCATATTGTTTAGAGTTTAATACTAGTGTCAGCACCAGTCGGCCATGTACGTAAACTCCCTGAACAAGATCTGGTCTTGGTTGGATAGTGGTCTTGGTTCCTTTGGTGGCGTTAGTTGAGGTCGTTCAGATGTGAATTCTTCGTCGAAATTGCTCACGTCTTCCATTGATTGCTAAAATAGAAAAAATAATTATTAAATTTAATTTAAATTTAACACAATTTAAAAACAATTATACAAAATTAATATGAGCACATACCACTGTTGGAACAAAAGGCGGAGGAATCCTACGATGTAATAGTTCCTCCCATTGAATGTGCCTAAAGAACGCTTGTTTCTTCACGTCTTCAGCGTCTCTTTCACTAGAACCTAATCTCCTATCAGGACTTTTCCTTAGTAACTGAAAAAGAGAAAAACTACTTAATCGTTAAATACTTAACATCACTTGATTTTTTAAATTTCTGTAGGTGTAGACAATTTATGACGTCACAAATAAATGACCTCAGTGAACTTACCCTTCTCATAATAGCGATGGATTCCAAAGACAGAAACCTAGGGTATCGTACCTCGTCATTCACAATAGAATCGAAAACTTCCTCTTCATCATCTCCAGGGAAAGGCGACTAGAAAATTTAAAAAGAAACTCTAGTAAATAAATGAGAGAGCTATTTATAAAAAAAATCGTGAAAGATTGCTAAATTGTTATATCTCGAAAGTGCTACTCATAAAAACATCCCAATAAAAAGTGCTATTTATAAAAAATAATATGGATCGATAAATTATTTTATTTAATAATGCCATTTACTATTTATCCAGAAGATAAGTGAATGAGCTATTTATAAAAAATAGTCCAAATAAAAATTAAATTTCTAAATGAAGATATATAACAAAGATAACTAACTTCTCCAACCAACATCTCGAATATGAGTACTCCAAGTCCCCACCAATCGACGGCCCTAGTATACGAGGTTTCTGTCAGAACTTCGGGTGCTAAAAATTCGGGCGTACCGCAAAACGTACCCGTTCTGTCTCCGTAACCCATACCCTCTTTGCACAACCCGAAATCCGCTATTTTCACATAGCCCTCGGTGTCGAGCAGGAGGTTGTCCAACTTCAAGTCCCGGTAGATGATCTTGTTCTCATGCAGATATTGCAAACCTAAAAACAAAAATAATTTAAATGTCTGTAATGGATCTAGACTATTAGGTATAACCTTAAGAGTGTCTGAAATGTCTCTAAATTATCTAGAATAATTTTGATCAGTTGAAAGTAACCTTTAGAGTGTTGGGTGAAACTTTAACGGTGCCTGAAATGGCTGTAAATTAACTGGACTAGTTTTGGTCTGTCGGAAATAACCTTAATAGTTTTTAACTGTCGAGAATAATCTTAAATGTCTCGGGAAACCTTAGAAATGTCTTAAATGGCTCCAAATTATCTGACATGGTTTTGATATGCCGCAAATAACTTTTAAGAGTGCCTGAAATTATTTTATAAATCTGTAATGGTTTTTAATTATAAGAAAATAACCTTAAGAGTATCTGAAAGTGCTATAAATGATTTGGAATAGTTTTAGTCTGTCAGAAATAACCTTGAGAGTATCTGATATTGCTTTAAATTACTGGAAGTTTGTGACTGTCGAGAATAACCTTAAGAGTGTCTGGGAAAACCTTACGAATATTTGAAATAACTCTAAATTATCTGACATAGTTTTAATGTCAGAAATAACATTAAGAGTGTCCGAAAATGCTTTATCGAATCTGGAATAGTTTTTGATTGTAGACAATAACCTTATGGTTATCTGAAACGGCTCCAAATTATCTGAAATGATTTTGGTCTGTCAGAAATAACTTTAAGAGTGTTTGACATTGCTTTAATAAATGACAGTTTGTGACTGTCTGAAATAACATTACGATTGTCTAGGGAAATCCTAGGTGTGTTTAAAATGGTTCTTAAGTATCTGACATGGTTTGATATGCCGGAAAAAACTTTTCCTAATACGTCTTGAGTGATTTAAGGATTGCCAAGGTTATTTTAGCTGGCCGGGAATGGTTGGAACGCTTTTCCAACCTAAATAACCTCAAAAAACGTACCCAAAACGACGCAGGCCGCATAAAACACAGCCCTGGGTTCGCTGAAGACGTCCGCGTGGATGTGCATCATTAAATCACCGCCGGCTGCATACTCCATGACGAAACAAACGTGCGCGTCAGTCTGGAAGCAGGCAAACAAATTGACCAAGAACGGATGCCTTATGGAATTGGCAACTTCGAATATCCTCTTTTCGGACAGGAGCGATTCCACCTCGTCCCTGGCTATGATGTCGCCCTTTTTCAACGCCTTGATAGCGAAGTACTCGCTGGTGCTCTTGTATTGCGAGAGGATGACTTTTCCGAAGTGGCCTCGACCTAGGACGCTGATCAGCCTGTAAGGTTTGAAAGTGTTAATTTCGAGGTATCATTTTGCAGAATGGGGTGATTATTGTTTACCTGAAATGTTCGATGTTTAGACCGACAGTTTGTGAGTGTCTTTTGGATTCGTATGCACTGTCTCTGTAGGTCAGTTCTCTAGCTGCCGGTCTTCGGATTATGTTGACCGCATCGTAAACGGGCTAAAAATGAAGAGCAATTTATAACAAACCAATTTCGATTTAGTTTTAAAGCAAATGTAAACTAGATTATTAGGTCTTTACAAACAGCATGCACTTAATAGGAAATTCGATGCGTGAAAAATATGAGTAAATTTCCTTTGGGAATGTTAGTTTGATTGGAAAAATGGTGGGAAGTAGCATAAAATTGTTTATTTAATCGCTTGCATGCATGAGATACCAAGCTCCGAATGTGATACATGTAGTGCGGTGACTGAATCATTTCAGCGCCTCTGGTATCGCTTCAAAAAAATATTTCTACTTTTGAGACCAGAATTCACAAATTTTTATAATCAAATTTTGGGGAATTTAAAATAATATTTTGTGACAACCTTAGGATTTAGCAACTTACTAAAGTAATTGTTTTTGTTTAAGATACAGGTTAAATTTTATATAAAAAACGATAATACAAATAATGTCACTATTAGGATACAAGTTTAGGACTTGTAATCCAAAAATAGGCTAGATTTTACTAGTTTAAGGTAATAAACGGTTTGGTCATTTTTATGTGGACTGCAATAAAATGTTTTTTGTAATTTTGACATAAAAAGTGACATTTTTGTAATCGCAGTAAGTGTTAAAATGATTAAGAAAAATCCATTATACCACCAGTTGCGAAAAGATGACAAATATATTGATTTAAAATAAACCGTTTTTAAATCAATATATAAATTTTTATTGTAAGTTTATATCAAAGGAATAAAAGGACGGTTGGTTGCATAAAATAGATTTTGTTAGTGAATTTACAACCTAGTAATAATTCTGTTCTGGTCCTTATTTTACATTTTAAAAATGCATACAAAATAATCAAAACTCAATATATGGCAAAATAACTGAATTTCTTGAAAACTAAATAACTTTAACAAGCAAATGCCATACAACAAGTTGAAAATAAATTATTTTCTATTTTAATAAATACATATGTAAATTAAATAAATCAAGTTATGCAACTAACAATGCACGAACGTAATATTGGTTGCATAGATGTTTAGTTTTTTTTTAATGTGAAAACAAATTTACTTGTACTTTCTAAATAACATTTTTTGACATTGTCAAAAAACATTCTTGAAACAAATTTATATTTTTTGACATATCCTGCATATGACTGAGAAATTTTGATGTCTGTCGATTTCATTATGAGTTTTAGCTCATGTAAACTTTTTAAGGTAGTTCACTCGTAAAACGGCTTTTCTTAAGAATTCAATAAAATTGAAATATAAGGTTAATGAAAGTCTTTTACGTAACTAAAAATGAATTTTTTTGACCGTTTGTGAAACGAGATATTGATAATCAAAATGATGTGCACAATTAACACTTTTATGTAGACAAGCAATGCATTTATTTTAGGATATCTCGAAATCGGTTCTTACTATATTTTTTAAAAACTAATGTAATGTAAACCAAGAAGTTATAAAATTTTCTTAAAAAACGCTGAATTTTCTGACCGTCTTGGTAAAAAGATATAGATTTTTAAAGCAGTCGACGCGAGATGCGTACAATGATTACAACTTGGCAACACTGTAATAAACTTAACGCGCGCTAATTGAATTACACTTGACCAGTTAAGAGGTTGTTATAACCTCGCGACGTCCAGTGTATTTGAAAACTGGAATTGACGGTTCTGGTTGAACCAAAACAAACCCTTAAAATTAGTATAAGGAAGTTTCTTTCTAAAGCCCACCATTCATATATTTGCGACGTTGCCGGATTTAACTTGAAATTATAACGTATTCATATATATACAAGCTTACATGTTTTGCGTTCAGTCTCTTACAAAAATAAAGTTTTTTAGCATTGAGAATCTCGAACTTTTGGTATTCACCATTAGGCGATATTTTTAAGTACGACTGTCGCGAGTGAACTACCTTAAATGAGTAACTTTTTTCATAAAACAAATCCAAAATTTTTCCGTTTGGCATCAACTTATGTAGTATGTTTCTTTTTATACAAAGATTAGGAAAATAAATTAAGGGTAAGTGAAAAAAACCAACGATGTCCATTTTATAGAAATTTTTAAGTAATCAATTTGTTATGTTAGTGATACCGAGTCCCAAACACATGCTAAATTGTAAGCAAATAAAACAAACGAGGTCCGAATAATAAGACATTTAAAAATAATCATAATGGTTAAAAACAGACCTCAGACTACTGAAAAAACCGTCGTTGTCCAGCTTAAATACAACGATTTGCAAGTACTAATACGATTTTGTCACAAATATTAACAAATTTTATGAAACATTATTTTACAGGTAAAAATCTCTTTATTTTAGGTAATTTTAAAATGGAAGTCATTCCTTTTTAACAAGTTATTTGTTACGTTTATTTTTTCTCAACCTGAATATAATGATCTTAAGTTTAAATTATTTTATCACCAGTTAGCTACACAATAATATATTACGTTAAAAATTTTAACATGCAGTTTTATTTAATTCTATGACTGTAACATAAGATTTGGTAATAATTTTCTCAACAAGTCAGTTTTATGACATGGTCTGTTTTTTCCCTTGCCCTTCAAATATAGATGTAAAAAATTGTGAATTTTGGAATGCATAATTCTTCATTCAATAAAAATTAACGGTTTTTTTTTTTTTTTTTGAAGCGATGACAGTTGAAGGACCGAAACGCGATTCCAAAAAAGTGTACCTCATCGTCTGGGAATTCGATAACAGGCTGGGGACTAGGCGGTACCAACTGTTCGAGAGGAAGTATAGGCGTAGAGGGTGCCGTAGAAGGAATCAAAAGAGGTCCTGGTCGAGACATCTCTTGTTCCTCGAGAAAGTCGAATTCCTTCAGTGCAGCGCTCTGCAAGTGAAACAATTACCTTATATGCCAACAAACATTTGGTTTGGTTGCTGAACTATGTGTGTGCTACCTTCTAATAACCCAATATACATAAATGAGTAGGTAATGAGCCCGCCGAGAACACTTTTTGATCAACTTGTGCGAGAGCTTACATTGATCAACAGCAGTTGATGTGACTATCGTACTTCATCTAATCGCCACTAGATGGCACCATCAGTAATATATCCACCGCTAGATGGAGTCACCTTTCATACTTCACCCGCAATTAAGGCAGACAGTAAAAAAAAAAATAATTCCAATTTGTCTAATTGAAGTTAGGTCAGTAATAATTGTTGGTATATTTCCACGCACCATCTGTGGTGCTTTATACTTTTCTGGTAATCTTGTACTTTAGGGGTCTTTTAGTGCGCTTGTCCACACACTCTGTACAGAAGCTTAATATGACATGTTTAATGGAAAAAAATTTAGTTTTAAGCTTGGCTTATTTCTTAAAACCCTTTAAGGCGCAGAACTTTTTTTTTAAATTTTTGACTAATTTTTGGTTTTAATTTATTACATAGGCTTTATGGACACCCAAAAAAATGCTGAAAAAATATTTTGATAATCAGGACTTTGTAATGGCGTGGTTAGTATATTGACCACTGATTATACAAAATCATGTTTATTATAAAGTAACAATATTATAAACTAAATATATCAAGCATTATGGAAAGGAGCGAAACACTCCAAAAGAGCCACATCACATTGACGGCAAATGAGGGTGAAACTTACAGGTTTTGCCCGAGTGCTGCAGTGTGCACATCTTCTAATTTTGCCTCTAATCGGAAATTGAGTTCCAACATTCAAAAGTCTTGTAGAGTTGTCAACTCCAACCGATCGACCGGATGGTTTTCTCATTTTGTTGCTCGTAATCATTACCGCAATAGGCCCTGGACGTTTTTGAAAATTTGCATCCTTTAGAAGTTCATCTACCAACAAACTTCGAAACAGACAAGAAACTGGCTTTTTACGAGATCTCAAGGATAACTCCTCATAGCAAATATAACTATTCGTAATAACAGCGGCTATGAGGTAGTAGAAAATTCGAATCCACCATCGTCTACTTTTCCATGAAATATTGTAATACGACACCATCTGATCGAATTTGTCCACACCGCCCATATTTTTATTATAATCATAAATTGGCAGGGGACAAGCGACTGATTCTTTTTTTCCCTCCTTATTTGTTCTTTCAGTATCAGTGGAGATACTCGGATCGTGAAATGAACTAACTACATTTACACTTTTCTTTCCTATGTCTTTCCATTTGCACACGGATATATTATTAGCGACAGCGTAGTCACTATCTCCTATTTTCATATTTCTGTCATTCTTCAATATTTGTTTTGGGTAATGTTTTCTGTTATCTCTAAAAGTGCCACATGCGTATGTTCCATTAATAAGTAGTTTGGATAGAAGCTCAAATGTAGAAAAAAAATTGTCGAGCCTTTATTATAATAATTTTTTGTCAAATCCAAAACAGTCCTTTCACCCAGTGTTCCTTCTGTGGGTGTTTTTGATTTTCCCTCATATATTTTAAAATTCATGACATATCCGGTTTTCGAATCTGCCAAAACCCAAACTTTGAAGCCTCTTTTTATATGCTTCATAGGCATGTACTGTTTTAGTGTGGACCTGCCTTTAAATTTTACCATACTCTCATCTATACAAATATTTCGTGCAGGTATATATAATTCCGAAAATGTTTTTGTCAGATGGTCGATCAGTGGTCTCAGCTTATACAGTCTATCAAATGCTGGATCAGTCTTATCGGGTATTTTTGTATTATCATTGAGATGAATGAATCTTAAAATTTTTAAAAACCTTTTTTGGGTCATTGAAGAGGCGATTTTAAGAACATGAAAGTTTTGGTTGGAGGACCAATAAAGTATAATGGCAGGCAATTCGTGAAACCCCATGAAAATCAAAATTCCAAAGAAGCAATTTAGTTCTCTGACTGTAAGATTTAGTTCCAGTACCATTCTGTGATGCATAACGATTCAATTCCAGCACAATTGTTTCTAAAATTGTTTCATCTAAGAATAACTGAAAAAAATCTATAGGATTATCGCTGTCATTATTGAAGGATGGACCGCTTTGCTGATCAAATATTGAATTATTAAAATGACCACCAGTGAAAAACTATATTTTTGTTCTGAAAGTTCTTCATCGACTTCCGAGATAGCTTTATCTTCTGAGGAATCTTCCAAGTTATTTGTGATTTGATGAAATTGTTTGCTAGATTGTTGATATGTGGGATCTGCTACTGAATCATCACTATCTTCTTCCAGCTCCATATTATCAACTTTTGGCTGGAAATTTTGCTTCTTTGCTTCTCCGGATGTATATGGTTTACCTGGGGATCGAGTGGAACTGCGTGAAGATAAAAATCTTGACACTGGTAGTCGTGGTTTAGATAAATCGACTGGCGGTGAAACGGACCTACCTGGAGGTATTCTCCTGGATATAGACGGTTCGTCTAGCGATGCAACAGAACTGCATGGAGATGAATATCTTGTCACTTTCATAGGAAAATTATTATCTGAACTGGTATATTTTTCGATAACCATATCATCTTCTGCGTCGTTATCACCTCCACAATCAGAATTTGCCGCCTGTTCATCAGTTATACTATTTAGAATATCATAGGCATCATTTGAGGTAATAGTTTCTAAGTTTATAATATAATTCCCAGTTTTGTATTTTTCAGAAGGCATTTTTACCTGAAAAAAGAAGTCGTGAAAAATCGAACCGAACGGCAAAATAGATGAACTGGGTTTTCAAAGTTTTTTACATGCCATACTATATATTTTCATTGACCATATTTTGGCATACGAACAATAAATAACCTTTGAATGAAGAAAAACGGTTTTTCACAGGAATATCTACACGGTATGCGCCAAGCCCTCCCCCTTCCCCCGAGAACGCCACTGCCTCCATAATCACTTTCAGATAGTTAAAAATATATATTATAAAAGAATTTGAAAACAAAAATATCTCGAGCTTGAACTTACAATTGACCTGGTAAGAAAGGACTTTTTCCTTCTTACACGGCCAGAAACACTAAATAACATCTAAGCGCAAAAATATGCTAATATTTTTGTGTGCTAAATTTTTAGCTTATAGTTCCAAAAAAACAGTGATCTAAAATAATAATGCTTATTTTTTTATATTTTGTGAAATATAATGATAAACAAAATGTCTTACCTTGAGAAAACTTGGGAAATCTCTGATATTTTGTAACAAATTAGATGGCACTAATACAAAACAGCGATTTTTACTAATACACGTGTTGCACTAACATGTATAGAACAGGAATAAGCCACGACTAGTTTTTATTTACTTTTTCTTTAGAAATTTAGAAAGATACACGAAAACAAAAAAGCGCGCCAATTGTTTCGGCAAAATACGGCTATCGAGTGCGCAGTGGTTAGTTAAGTGATCACTTTCAATATAAATGGCCAAGCGTTAAAAATGTCGCCATCTAATCGATCACTGCGTATGTAGACTTGTTAGGTATGCCGATTAGAGCTATATTCAACTGATTTGGCCACTGAATAAATTATCGGTATGATACTTATTGACGTGGTTAGTATATTGACCACAGCTACTTAAAGGGTCAACAACTAGCGGTGCAAATGAGCCTAAGACATATAGCAATTTACTACAGGTCAGACCAGATAGGTTTGCTCAGATGTAAAATTATTTATGTATATCTCGAGTAAGATTTTGTTAAATTTGGTATATCAAATTTAAGTATTGTAATTTACCTCGGAGAGAAATTGTCATAAGTATGATATATATTAAATAATTATATATTTTAAATATTTCATCTGCACAATTTGGATGGTGAAAGGTATTCTTCCTTCAATACTACGCAAAATAAAGATGAAATGCTTAATTAGATTTGGACTTGTGATGAATAAAGAGAGTAATTGATTTAACCACAACCCTTTTGAAGGCAAGGATGAGATATTGCAGCCCGCGCCTCTCTATTTAATAGCATTGTGTTTCTATACCATTCTTCTGGAGTCAGTTAACATATTGATTAGCATCTGTTACATTCCTGACATTTTTTTACTGCCCTTTAATGACGAATTTCAGCACCTAGAATGGCTCTCGCAAGTGCAGAACAAAAAGTGTCCTCAATGAGCCTATTACCTACTTCGATCCACTAACGAAATTATTTAAACAATTATTGTACAATTTTTTAAAATACAAAATCGCTAATCAAACACTTAAACTAAACAAAAATATATATATTTTAATTATTGTACTTAAAACAAGAAGGGAAATATATTAAGAATGGGACACAGAACAATTAAACATTCTAGGATTAAAAATAAGACGATTAAACTAAACATGCATAGATAAAATATTACTAGTTTCCAAAATACAGGGTGTTAAAGTTATTTATGGCTATATTTATTTTATTCCTTAGTATAATTTTACTTAATTCAGTAAACATTTTTTGTGTCATAAGATACATCTATCAGCAAAATAAATTTTGTCAGTGGCGTACGGCATGGATAAATAACACATTCATTCCCTCTAAACTTTACGCCACTTTCCAAAAACTTATTTGCACTATACTTTTACATTTTTTATGTTTATTAAATAAATCATGTACTCTTGTTTGGAACTCATAAAGTGATTGGTTTTCAAAAGTTGATATTGTTTATTTTATTTATTTTTTAATTTTGTAATTTTACTTTTTTTTGTAAATTCTCACAGTACATGATTTATTAAAAAAAAAAAAAAATCAAAAAATTCAAAATTGTAGTCTAAATAAGTTTTTGGAGAGTGGCGAAAAATTTAGAAGGAATTTTGGTGATAGATGAATAACACCAAAAACGTTTGCTCAGTATAATTTTACAAAAAAATAAAAAATTGGAAAATTAAAATGAAGAATATTCACTTTCAGTGTGAATATCTTGAAAACCAATCACTTTATGAGTTCCCAACAAGAGTAGGTGAATTTAAAAAAACATCAAAAATACTAAAGTTTTTGGACAGTTATGTAAAATTTAGAGGAGATGGAAGGATTACTTATCCATGCCATACAACACTGGTAAAGTTTTAACTGATTGTTTTGCTGATAGTTGTATCTTAACCCACCAAAAATGAATACCGAATTTAGTAAAATTATACTAAGAAATAAAAATATTATAGCCATTAACAATTTTTGAATTTTCAACTTTTAACACCCTGTATTTCGGAAACGAGTAATATTTTATCCAAACATGTTTAATCATCCTATTTTTGATCAGAGAATCTTCAGTTGTTGTGTGTTCCATTCTAAATATATTTAATTACAGTTCATCAAATTTCTAGAGGCTTTCGACGGCTAGACAGAGAAAGCACTACTGACAGGCATCCCGACGGATTTACGCAATGAAAGTACACTCTGCGCATCAAGTATTTCACTATTTCATTCAGACGTAAATGTCAGATGTAAATTTCGCTAAAACATTTCTTTTATTTTCGTTTGTGTTTTTTGCTCATTACAGTTTAATAGAACCTAAGTATGGAGTTTAATAGCAAATTAACAGTCAATCTCGCGAAATAATAGCCAATGTTATAGAGTTTATGAGAAGAGAAGGAAACTTCAATTCACCTTCAATACCATTTAAAAATGTAAATGATCGTGTTGCTGCAGCCACAGGAGTATCTAAAAACACTGTCGTCCGCATTTCTGGAGAGAAAAAAAGAATCGATAACCGTGAGATATCGGAATTTTCATCACCAAGAAAAACCATTAAAAAACCAAAAACAGTTAATGATATAGATGAAGCTGCACAAGAACAAATTTTATTTTTTTATTATTAGATAGCTATTTTTGTTTCTGAGTTGTGTTCATTGACAGGCTCAATTTTTTTCCGTTTCTCCTTTTTGATTTTATATGGGGTTTCAAGTTGTTTTTGACTTATTTCGACGTAAATCACAACAACACACTTTTTTAATAAAGCAAACAAGTGTTAAGAGGTATATGTACGTGTAAACTACAATTACAAAAAATTGATATGAAACCCATGAAACCACCAACAAAAATGTAAAGCTAGCTTCCGTACTAGAACATGGTGTCATTCGTCGAGATAATTTATCGTTTTGTTTAATAGATCAAGAAATGTAAATATTCCCCTGTTATTTTTTATAAAATTATAAGAGAAATAAATTTTTTTCTTAATAGTATAGTTTATTATTTTGTAGAAAAACAAAATTTCGAAAATTTTAGTAATGTTTCAGAAACAACCGTTATTAATAATAGGTACCATTTTCCTTAATAAGGTAGAAATAAAATATAAACTATTTCCACGATTTACAAAGGCCTACAAAAAAATTATAGGTATTTTCCGCTATCCTATAAAATTTATATTTTCTGACTCAATTTCAAAAGGTTGAAGGAATTCCAAAACACCTTTTATGGCATAATAATTATTTTCAATTCTACATACTATCTTTAGCTGCTTTTAAAAACGTTCTAAGAAAGTCCAATCAGACCAATTTAATCCCTAAACTATTCCACACTTTTAAAATTTAATTACCTAAAAATATTAAAAACTATTTAAAATAACTTGTTTAGCAGACTGTACAATAGCTATCTTAGTCACACGTAGCGCGTTCTCTGTCTGGGCGTCGAACACCTCTAGAAATTTGATGAACTGTACAGGGTGAGCGAAACTCGATGTCTCAGCTCCATTATGGGACAAGGGAAAAAGATAGGAAAAAGTTGAAAAGAGGTTCTTAAATGGGATAAAGTAAGGTCCGTTTTAAGCCCAATTTGCATATTTGTCCATATTTGGAAACTGAGGTAATGACGTCATCGATTGTTTTTTTTTCGGAAACATACCTATATTTTTATAAATTTAAAAAGAGCTAATTTTTCTGAACAAATTTTATACAGAAAAAAATTTGATATCTCCTTCACTTTAAAAATTATAAGCAAATTTGTAAAAAAAAAGTATAATCAAAAATTCAGAAGTCGCCTTTGGAAACAAATAGCAAAGACGTATCTGTCAAATTAAATTAATGGTTGACAACAGTATTATCAGAATTGACTCTTTTAGCAATTTTTTTTCCCATTCGAGAAGAAAATGCCTTGTTATTTGAACGTAAATTGCGTTCCAATCTTGCAAATATTTTTAAGCTTGGAATAACACGTTCGGGGTATCTCTAGACGTATAACTGAACTGCTCTTCTAGGGTTCTTTTGAGATTCCCCATAAACTAATAACATGTCGACTTTTTCATTGTGCGTGAACATTTTTCAAAGCCAAATAACTACATAACAATATTTGTCAACCATTAATTTAATTTGACAGATACGTCTTTGCTATTTGTTTCCAAAGGCGACTTCTGACTTTTTGATTATACTTTTTTTTTTACAAATTTGCTTATAATTTTTAAAGTGAAGGAGATATCAAATTTTTTTCTTTATAAAATTTGTTCAGAAAAATTAGCTCTTTTTAAATTTATAAAAATATAGGTATGTTTCCGAAAAAAAAACAATCGATGACGTCATTACCTCAGTTTCCAAATATGGACAAATATGCAAATTGGGCTTAAAACGGACCTTACTTTATCCCATTTAAGAACCTCTTTTCAACTTTTTCCTATCTTTTTCCCTTGTCCCATAATGGAGCTGAGACATCGAGTTTCGCTCACCCTGTACATTAATTATTTCATTAACGAAAGTGAAACCTGTCCAATTTCAATATGTAGTCTTAAATTCGTTTAATATATCGCTGGTTGGCAAGAACATTGTCGCAATTAAAAAAAGAAGCGATTTTTAAATTTATTATAAAAGTTTTATTGATTTTTTTTTTAAGTGTAGTCAATTTAATATCACATTCATTTTACTAATTAAATTATAATTTATAATATTAAAACACATGAAAATATAAAAAAATAATGAAAACAAATAAATCACCACACACAGGCCACCTTCAGACATCGGTCATTATTCTTGAGATTATGAATCAAGAAAAAGCAATTCATGTAATTATCTAAATTTAAAATAATTGGGCCTCACAAAAAACAAATACATACAATATTGTTATTTTATAATCTACTAACGTTCTTAAATAAAAAAAAATAAGACAACAATATACATCTATAACAAAATTCTTCGAAATATGTCAATATTCTTGAAAAATATTCTCAAAAGAGTCTATATTCATGTAAAATGAGCATCTCTTTACTTGGATGGATGGAGTATCTAAAATAAGCCGGTGTCCACGATAAGACTTTTTTATCTCAAAGAATAAGGACACTATCTGTGTTTAGCAATAGTTGGCCATAATTCATAATTGCGTCATTATTTATGATGAAATATTAGCGAATTCTGTTCTGTATACTTCTCGCAAACCAGCGATATGTTCCTGAAATATAAAATGGATTGATACATGGAATAAAAGAATTACCTCTGGATCCAGCCTTGGAGGAACCGGCGGCGGCGTAACCGACATCCTTTTCTTAGCCACCGGAGGCGGGACGGACGGCGACGGCGGTAGTAAAGGTTCCGGAGGTGGCGGTAGTTCTATTTGTAGACCTAAAGGACGCGCCCCGCCTAAACCGGGAGCTTGAGGATCGGGTGTCTCTCCAGGTGTTTCGGGTTTGTCTTCCACTATGAGATCATCCTTCAATTCAATATAAAAGAAACATTAGTATTTATTTTAGAAATTTTTTAGAAGAAATCAATTGCTTAATGTTGGGGTATACACATAGATAAATAAAAGGATACGGTTTGACCTATAGGCGATAATCGTTCACTTATTTGTAGGTTTAACATAATGCGCTATGCGGCACTGTAAACATTAAATATAAAGCCATTCTACACCCAATTAAAAAAAAATCAACAATTTTACTAATGTAATCTTTTAAATAACACTTTAAAAAAGTCTCGAAGCTAGAACAACGTTGCCAAGTTACTTTCATTTTTCATATCTATTTTATTTTTTATTTATATTCTAATTAGACAAAGAAAAAATAAGTAATACAAACAAAATATCGATTGTGGCAATGTATTTAGAGTGGATCCTGATGCATTAACTTTTCATGGTAAATAACAAGGAACGAGTTATGAGAAACAAGTAAAATAAAAAGAAATCACATGACGTACGATTAAGTACGAATAACGGGAATAATTGTCCAGCATAGTTAATCCGGCGGTTGTACTATGGGCACCAAACTGGCCCATCTACCTGCTACTCTACGAGGGTTCGCTAATCTCGTATACATTATGGGCAACAGCATTAAAGGTCTAGGAAGTTTATTGTACTTAGCTAATTATCTGTTAATAGAATGACAAGAGCATGTAGAATTACGAATTTAGTGTTTTCGTATTCCATACAATGGTAGGGATAACTACCACTTTACTAGAAAATCATTATCACAATATTAGACGGGCAATTCATTCATTCATACACTTTTCGTATACTGTTTCTTTTGTTACAATCGGGAACGATTTCCAAAACTTGTTTTTCAATCTTTAAATCGGTTAAAGTACATTTACCTATCTGAATATTTCATCAGGGAATATGGATATATCTACAGTGCAAAGTACTAAGGGAAATGGTGGTGTGTTACTTATTGTAAACAAGTTTAAGTTTTCGCGGCATAAAACTTTAAAAAGTGGTGAAATTTTTTGGCGTTGCGCTAAAACAAATATTAAGTGTCCGGCAAAGGTGTTCACGATTGGTTCAGAAAACTTGCTAACTAGGAGTTCCCTATTTCACAACCATGAATCGGACGAAAAGAAATTAAACCGGCTTTTAATATCGAATTCGTGTAAACGAAAGGCGGAAAAAGACATTTCAGAAAGGCCATCAAAAAAAATTTTTTTTTCTTTGGTGTACGGCTTCAACATCTAAGGTCATTAGCCTAGTGTTCTATAGGCATTTTCGGAAACCTATTACAGATAACAAATCCAGATTATTGGGGCATAAATATTACAAGTTACAACTAATTGAATGTAGAAAAAACTTCAAAGCTACTACTGGCAGACACCAAACACCAAAAAAGCGTGTTATCCCCTTGTAAAATCCTGTGGTGCGCTTGCGGATCTATTACTAATCTACTCGTAGGGTGGGTTACAAAATATTGATCTCTATCAAAAAGCTGGATCAGTAAACTACTAGTTTCCGAACACGGATAGGGTTAGTAACCATAGGTAAATGAACAATGGGATCCATAATCTTTCTGATTCGAGTAAGTTTTCGAAAACGCCTTATGTAGGTTATGGATTATACTAGTAGTCTAATACTCCATAGTGCAGGAGTATTAGTACTCTACTCCTACACCCCTACAGACAGGCCTTGTTACTGTTTCCTTGCGCCACTTTAGGAACAGCACTGTTAATTAGAACCCAACAGTGAATGGTCGAGTGGGGAATCCTACCAAGGCATCAGAATTAATTTTAAATAATTAAATTAGATAAAAAAATCCCGGCCAACGGTGGGATTCGAACCTGGGACCCTTGGATCCACAGGCAGAGACTCTACCACTGAGCCACCCACCCCCCGCCATCAAAAATTATTCGACATGAATTGGAAAAAAAATTGCCAGAAACGGTCACCACATTGGACGTTAATTGTATTAGAAGAAATATTTATAACGCCAGAAGAAAATTACATTATAGTTTTTTCTTGTGAAACAAACGTTAGAAATTTGTGTGAGATGAGCCACATATACAGGGTGTTTCCGAACTTGGCGTCCAAATTTGTAGGGGTGGTAGTTCGCATAATTTGAGACCGATTCGCAGATTTCATTTTTCCAAAATATTTAAAATAAAAATAATTAAAAATTAATTAAAAATGTTAAACAGGTACGATGAGATCAATTCTCTGAACGCGAGGTAAACAACCCAACAAAGCAATACGCACTAGAAAAAAAAGATGCATTTTTTGTTTCACTTTCAATAAAATTAGTTTGTAGGTATAAGTTATTTTTGTATGTATAAAGTTTGTAAAAATATTTAATAAAAGGTGTACAATTTGAAGCTTGTATAAATTACTATTAATATTAATGGTGCCCAAAATTCATAAGCTATTTAGCAGGTACAAATTCTACTGGTGCCCAAAATAGTTATCGGATTAAATGGCGAGGTAGCCTGGTGCCCATATTACATCCGCCCAGTTAATCGCATCATTATAAGCTGTGTTTTCTAGTACTAATAAGTATCGAAACAGAGACAGTTGCAATATGAATCAATTATTCAATACATTACCCGGTTTTGAAAAACATTTATAGATGTCTATATTATATCCGGATATAATAATGAAATAAAATACTTACTGCGACGTTTTCAGAAGAATTGAGTACAAGATTTTGCCGACTCGGCATCCTCGACGATTGCTTCATCCACCTTCCCCAAGTCACTATATTTATGTTCATTTGTTTCGCTCTGGGCAAACCCTGCTTGAAAATTCTCTTTTGCCGTTGCAATTTCGGCCTCTTCGATATCATAGGATTCAAAAATTTGATCTTGAAAAAAAAATAGAAACAATTAGAAACACTTTTAATCGAATTAAATTACGGGTTTTGAGCTTACATTAAATTGTAATTAGATGAAACAAAATGGATTTTATGTATTTTGAGGTGATCTTTTCAAAAAAAGGCAAAACAAAATGTAGCAGTTTTTCAAAAGTGCCGAAATTTTGGATTTTGTCAATTTTTCAATTTTGCGCAGGCGCATGTCGGAAATAAATCAATATTTTTAAAACGCAGTTTACGACATTTGAAAGCTTAGGAAAAATGCTAATTTTTATGTCTCTTGAGAAATTTTGATCCGATGCACCGTTCTCGCGGTATGGACGATTGAAATTTGTTTAGTATTTTGAGGCGACGAAGGTCGAAAAATTGAATTTGTTAAATGTTCAAACACTAAATTCTTTATAACATTGGTAAAAATTAAGATATTTGAAAAAACCAAAATGCGTTTTGAACTTAAGGGGTTTGGCTAGTGATTCCCAGAAGGGAGCAAGAGAAATCCCAAAATTGGGCATATGGCGGAAAGGCAAAATGCACCGCGGTCCTAATTTCATTGTTTGCCTATAACGGCCAAACTATTTGAATTTTTTTAATGCCACTTACAAAGCTTACTCTTAAATGTGAAATCTTATGTGTGTGTGAATTTCACCGACGTCGGACCATAATTGGCTAAGATATCAAACAATTAATTTTTTTTTTCCAAAAAAAAAATAATTTTTTTTTTTCGAAAGTTTGAAGTGGCACAAAAATACCAAAAATGCACCCAATGGCTCAAAACTTTTTTTGAGTACTCTATTGTGTCTAGAATACGATTACATTACGGAAAATTCTGCAAATATATTTTTTTGACCACTGTTCATTGAGTGACGACCAAAAAACACGGTTTTTGAGAAAAGTTGCCTAAAATTGACAATTTTTAGTTTTTTTGTCTGAAAATTAAACAAACCCAAATTTCATGTCTTCTAAATGTGTTTACAAAGTTTAAAGTGTGTATGTTTCTTCTAAGTTGTAGAATTCTCCCGACAAAAGTCCCATTACACGCGCTCCGCGGGATCCAAAACTCGTGTATACACTACATTACTGTAATTTGATTTTTTGCGATTTCCTGTTTTAAATTTCTTGCATATAGTATTTTTAATACAAATCCCGATGCACGTCAGCAATGACGTCGGTCATTCGTCATAGTAATACCAACTAATTAAAATGTCCCTAACTAAGCTAATAATCCGAAAAAGTCACGTATAGTCACGAGCATTCATGAACGTAGTCATATTACTAAAAAGTCGAAAACTGTTATGGTGATTATTTTGATAATTTTAAGAATTATTTAAATTATTTAGTTTATACATGTCTAATTCTTGATAATATAAAATTTATAAAAACATTATTAAATGTTTAGTACTCAAAAAATAATACTTTACATTAAATAATTTTGACATTCTGTACGCCCATGAAGCTCGTATTTATAGAGAAGAAATGTCATTACAGCAATTGGTACACCTTGTTGCGGTGTTGCAACCCCTTTTTAAAAAATTTCACTGATTTAGTTAGGTTATGTTTATGTTGAGTTAATTATTGATTGTGCATTTTGTTTTCTGTAATTTAAAATCCTTTTGCCTGTATTTTTAAGCTTTGCCAGTTATAATTATAAAAAACTGTTTTTCAAAACAACCATAGAGTGTATAAGCTGATTATTTGTCGTTTAATTTTTATATACAAAATGCCTAAAAACTAAATAGTCCTTGTAAGGAGTTGATAGCTTCTTTAATCCATTATTTTGAATGAGAGCGTGATAATGATGGACCACGTTTACCTTCAACTGCTGTAAGAGAGGTAAGTTACAAGTTATAAAATTTAATAGAAATATGAAATTATTTTCTTGTCTTTTTTAGCATCTCTAAATAAAAATATTTCTACTGTCAGTAGTATTTGGCAAGCAGTCAAGAATAATGAATGATTAAAATCGCTAATTAAAAAGCATTCATATAAACAAAGGATTACCTACTAATACAATAACACTGGATACAAGTGGAATCCGAAGTGGTATTTATAATATGTATGAAACAAGTAAGTATAAAGACAAATCTATTTATTCAATCATAATTTATTTATATTACCTATAAAAGTTTTAATTTGTATACAGTAATAT